TTATTTACCTTTCCACCACAGAAACTGGCAGCGACCTCCACAGTGACAGGTATCAGGGACCTGAGTTAGGACCAGGGCAAGATTCCTTCCAGAAAGGGGAGTTGGTGCAGACCAGTGGGGTCAAGGGTCCACTTCCAAGAAGCTATGTAGCTTCCAAATCCAAATCTCCTGGTGTAGTGGTATAATGGATTCCTGGTGGGAGTGTTGGTTTGGGATGAATACATTTTGCAGGTAGGACTTTGCAAATGCTATGGAGAATCTCGAAATGGGGAGAATATTCTGGATTATATGGGTAGGCCCACTGTTAACCACAAAGGTCCCTATAATGGGGAGGCAGGAGGCTCAGAATCAGAGTCAGAGACAGATGTGAAAATGGAAGCAGCAGAGGAAAGAGAGCTTGACATAGAGAGAGAAAGAAGTTGATATACAATGGGGTTATGGACACTGGGGAAGGTATGTGTCATGGTGAGTACTGTGAAGTATGTAAACCTGGCGATTCACAGACCTGTACCCCTGGGGCTAATAATACATTATATGTTAATAAAAAATAAAAAAAAAGTTTAGAAAAAGCAGTTGATATACAGAGAGAGATTTGAAGAGGCTTCATGGAAGAAGGGGCACTGAACCCAGGGATTCAGGCAGCCTCTGGAAGCTGGAAAAGAAAAAAAGAAATGCATTTCCCTGTAGAGTCTCCAGAATGAATATCTCTGGGGAATGTGGACTTGCTGGCCAAAATAACTAAATACCTGAGGAGTACAATTATGAAGATAAACCATACAAACCCACTATTTTTAATAGATCCTTACCAGTCAAATATTAGTCATTCCCTGTGGTTCAACTTAGTACTCTAAATAGGAGTGATCAAACTATGGCCTGTGGACCAAATCTGGTCCACAGCATGTTTTTATAAATAATTTTATTGGAGCAGAAATACTTACTCATTTATTGGAACAGAGGCATATTGCCTCCAGTGGCTTTCATGCTATAGTGGTTCAGCTAAGAAAGTCTTAGAGATCACATGACTTGCCAAGCATGAAATATTTTTTAATTGCCTCTTTACAGAAAAAATTTGCTGATCCCTGCTCTATAATATACCTTCTGAAGCAAAATTGTCAGAAAAGATTGCTGAAAAATTAAGACTAGCAAGAGAAAATGTTTAAGAAGGTAAAGAAAGGTTTTCATAATCCAAAAAAAAAAAATAGACAAACATTTATTTTAAAAAAAGAAAAAAAAAGGACTACAGGAAATAGTAGATGTAAAGAACCAAAGGGGTGAATGGGTATAGTAGAGAAATGGATGGGGTATTAAGACATGAGAGGAGTGAATCACGGGGTAGACAAGCTGGCTGGGAAAAGTTCTCAGAAGGCAACAGGAGAGGACAACAAGATAAGAAAGAAAGATGAACTGATGTAAAGGAGAAAAGTAGAAGTGCTAATGTCTGCAGAAGTGGGAACACACTAGCAATATGCTTAAATTGGGTGAATTTGAGTGTACTTGTCAGCTCTTGGCAAAGAAATGCTTTATACTAAGTCATTACTTACCCTGGTAGCTAACCAAAATAAGCATCCAATATCTGGTGCATGGGTCTAGAAGCTGACTGTAGCTTGACTGGCTGTTGCCAACCTATTCACACTGTTGCCTGAGGCACTCTCCTGGGCCTGTCTTTTCTAATAGCAAGCTCCACAGATATTTCCCGTATGCCCCACTGGGAAAACGTGGATGGACTTGCCCCTGTGGTTCAATTATAATAGCAGGACACAACTCTGCAAAACCATCAGGGAACTCTGGAAAACAAGAATTATTTAATCACAAGTCCTGGTGGGTATGTAGTATATTTCAGTGAGGTCTCAGAGAGAGAGAGAGAGCACACAGACATGGGGCTCCACCCTTATTAGAGGCTGAAGGTTGGGTATACAGGGTTTCATGGGTTCATTTTTATCAATGAATTTAAGGCATAAGAGCTAGAAGTGGATGAGTGCCTGGTTGGCTCAGTTGGAAGAGCACGTGACTCTTGATCTCAGGGTTGTGAGTTCGAGTCTCATGTTAGGTACAGAGTTTACTTAAATAAATAAAAAAAAAAACTTTAAAAAAAAGAATAGGAGGTGAAGCATGGGAAAGGAGAAGCAGGGTTACCCATGTGGTCAGGTTATCTAAGTCACCGAGGGCTTTCTGAGAAAGGGAAGTTCATGGGTGGGGTGGTCTGCTTCCTTATCTAGTTATTTGCTTGTACCTGTGTCCTACAGCTGGCAGTGTTTGTTTGAGTTAGATGTCTTTGAAATGGATCCCTTGGAAGTCAATAGCTCAATATAGGCACTTACATTGCAATCAATAAGGTTTGCATCAGGAACTTACACTATACTTGGTCTAGGAGGCATGCTAGTATGGCTTCACTTCAGGTTGATGCAGTTGGGCTCACTTTCAGATGAGTTCAGAACATGGTTCTGGGGTCCAGACTAGGTGTTCCTACCCAGCACATTCTCAGACTACATCCTAGGGTACCCCCTTACCTTGGAAAATCACCTGAGAACAAGTGGAAAATGCAGTATGTCTTCACATCTCACCATAAATCTGACACATGGTCACTTCTGCCTCTACTGCACAGGGCTAAACCATCCATATGCTGAAACCCATCACATGGATGGGGAAACATATTCCATCCACTCTAGGAGAGACCCTGAGAAGTCACTGCAAAGGGTGTAGATGAAATATTCTTTTTTTAAAATTTTATTTATTTATTTGACAGACAGAGATCACAAGTAGGCAGAGAGGGAGGCAGAGACAGAAAGAGGGTGAAGCAGGCTCCCCACTGAGCAGAGAGCCTGATGCGGGGTTTGATCCCAGGACCCTGGGATCATAACCTGAGCTAAAGGCAGAGACTTTAAACCACTGAGCCACCCAGACACCCCTAGATGAAGTATTCTTAAACAGGAGGGCTTTGAGGACTGCAGCAATGACTCAGTGTGTAACACTTGGTTATATAATGTGGAATGTAAAAATCTAAGTCCCAGGAGTCTTACATAAACTGTGGTAGATATCCTTTTATAGAGTACAAAAACAGGCAAAACTGAGCATGCCATGTGTGCAGATACTGGTGATAAAACTCTTGAGTAAAGGCAGGGAGTATATAGGGTGTCATGTACAATAAGGGAGCACATATTGTCAGATATTGATAACATTCTCACTCTTGGTTTAGGTGATAGATTGTGGACTGTTCATTGTCTTATAGAGCCACACGTGGACCAATGTCAGCTGTGTCATGAACAAAGGAAAGGATGATATTTAAGCAAACTCTGGGCAACTAAGATTCATAAGAAAAGAAAAAAAAAGCCAAGTAAACAAAATACTCAAACGCACTATGGAGTCAGAGAAAATCAAACAGATGTTTTGAACTTGGCAATTAATTAGGAAAGGGCTTAGAGGCAGTTTATGGAGTTACTCCAGCAGCACAGGTTCAGTGGGCCCTGGGTTGGTGGGACTCCTTGCTTCAAAGACCTTCCACTTCAGTGGGCTCCCTGTCTACTGGGCTGTGTCTTTGGGGTTAGTCTTTAGTGATCTGCTCGGCCTGAGAATCTATGAATGACTGTTGCGGGAGTAGCTGGGAATAACTGGAAGTAAGTGGGAGTAGCTGGGAATAGACAGGAGTAGCTGGGAATAGGTGGGAGTAGATGAGAGTAGGGGGGAGTATCTAGGAGTAGAGGGGAGTAGCGGGGAATAAGCAAGTGTAAACAGGAGTAGCTGGGAGTAGGTAGGAGTAGCTGGGAGCGAGTGGGAGAGACACTTTGGATTTGGATGGAGGCAGTAACATCTGTATTGAGACTTGTGGGTGGCTGAGCCTCTGGGTGGAGGTGAGGGAATATCAAGCCCTGGTAAAGAAGCTGGGCCTGGGTGGGGAGGCAGGGTGCCATTTGGTCCTTGGTGAGATGGGAGAGGCTGACATGTGGTTGAAGATGTGGGTGCACACAATCAAAGTGTGATCAAATTGGCTTTGTATTTTTTTGATAAAAAAATTATTTATGAAGATCACTTTGCCTCCTGATTCATGTGTACAATGATACCCAAGAGGCACAAATGCAGTACACTAGTTCTCAGGGCTATACACTGAAACCTGGGATGGCTTCCTTGTCCCTGGGCCCTCTCCCAAGATTGATTTTACTGGTGGCCTAGGTACTTCTTAAAACTCCCCAGGTGCTTTTAACATGTAGCAATATTTCAAAGTCATTAATACATTATTAATACATTTTTAACAGTTGGGCAATATACACTAAATTTTAATTTAGGTAAAGCTTTTGCCTCAGTTTTCCATCTAGCCTTTTATTATATGGAAATACCTGTGTAATTTCACAAACATATTGGAAAAGTGTTGCACATTATAGTACTGTTTGTAACAGCTGTAAATGGGAAACAAGCAAAACATATGTTAACAGGCAGTTAAAATACAATATGGTATATTTACACTGCAACGTTTTACAACCTGACATGCCGACTTATGCCTGCATATTGTTTTCTATGCACTGCCACTTCTCATGGTCAACAGCCCATCAGTCTTCTGGCCCTGGGACAAGATCTACCTCTCGGTTCCTCCAGGAACTTGTTGGGCATTGGTTTGGGATTTTCACAGAGAAGCAAAATCTCTAGAGCTCAGGGCATGTATACGCCCCCTCTTGCTAAAGCACCTGTTTGGCCGTCAGGTTGGCTGGGTGACCCTTACCCTGGTAGGACAGCAGAGGAAAGTGCTATTGGCCCAAACAGAGGGGGTCCTGAGGCCAGGCATTGAGGAAGCTGGGGTTACTGTGCAGGTGAGCAGGAGACCTCTGGATGGTCCCCACAGCTTGCCTGCTGTGTGTGAGCTCTCTGCACCAAAGGACAGTGGTTGCATCACAGGTGCTGAATTATGTCACAAAGTGTGCCCTGCCTATAGGGGCATGGACAGAGAAGAGATCAGGAGTGAGGGGGGGTGGCCTGAACAGAGATTAGGCACAAACTGAGTGCTAGAGACCCAGGAGAACCACTGGCTGAGGTGTGGGTTACAGCCAACTGCACAAGGAAGAGGGAGCAGCCAGTGGGTATAGCAGGTTGGAGAGACCCCAGAGAGCCAAAGCCAGGAAAACTTGGGGCAGCAACACTTTCCACAGTCACATCTTAGAGGCCTAAGGTGCGGAAGCAGTAGTGGGTGGTAAGGTGACTAGTCTAGGTCCTAGCAGACCTGGGTCTAAGTGTTCTCCTTGGAATTGCAGACCACAGCTGGGGGATGGATGGCAGAAGGCCAGTAGCAGGGACTATTTAACTGGTTTCTTGTGGGTTGATTTCCTCGGAGACAGGGGTAGCCCTAAAGGGGGAACCTAATGGCTTTTTCTTGAATCCAACTGGGCTGATGCTATTTTAGATCTTTGAACCTACAGCAACCGTAGCCATCCCACCCTACCTGCAGCTCCAGCCATGGGAGAACGAGGGGGCTTGCTTGTGTCCCGGGACAGAGGGCCCATGACTAGATCCTGGGGGACCTGCTTGCTCCTGCTCACCATTTTGGTGGCCCTGGTGGCCAGCACAGACCCAGGCAAAAATAAGGTCAAGGTGTTGAAGGAATTAAAAGTGATCAATGCCTCAAATGCCAACGTGAAGCAGTGTCTCTGGTTTGCCATGCAAGAATACAACAAAGAAAGTGAGGATAAGTACCTCTTCCAAGTGGTCAAGACAGTACAAGTCCAACTGCAGGTAAAGATGTTCCCTCCCACTAAGCACTGTGCCTATGGTGGCCCCGATTGAAGCCAGACTGAAAGAGTGTTCATGGGAGAAAAATAATGATATACAAAAGTCCTAAGTATGTGAGTGATCAAGTTACTTATACCTTTGCATGTCACTGTGACATCCCTGCACTTTCTATGTATGCTTCCACTGTTGTTCTAAGTACTTTATGTGTACTAACTCACTCAAACTCCAAACTGCAAATCAAATGCTCGTGATTTGTATTTGCTAGGGTTGGGAGACAAATTGAGTGCCATGAATATTCTGGAATAATGCTGCCATGGACAACATTTCAATCTATCCATATAAGGTAGATTGTGGGGTTGAAAAGAGGCATGTGGTCTATCTAATATATAGGTAATAATTTCTCTTCTCCTATAGTCTATAATTCTTTGAATCCAACATTTGTTTAGTGCAAGTGGAGACAATCTGATTCTGAGTTCCTAAAACCCTCCTCACAGAGTCAGGCATGGCCCAGTGCTAGGAAACATTGCTTAGTTGGATTCCATTGAGGATGACACTCCCTGGAGCTTGCAACACATGGCCCTGTATGCCATGGTCAAGAAGAAGACCCCATAGTGGGGACTGAACTTAATGTACCATCCTCCGTCTGCAGGTTCATGGTGTGGCTTGTAATTCTACCACGAAACTTGCGGGAGTGAGTTGTAAAGATACTCAACAGAGAGGTCATTGTTGGTGGAGTTTACTCCAGTTTTTATATCTCCGTATGGTGTGTCCATTTGCAGAAGCTGAGCCAGTGTACATGTTGGCACTTATGACCCCATCCTTTTGGGACCTTGTGAGCTGACAGTCAGAATTTCCAGTATATCATGCTGATGGCCCTCTATTTATTGACTGGCACACTGCACAATCCACCTGGAGAACTCCTGGAGCCCTTTGAAATAGAGGAATGGATTCTTCCTCTTGTAACTTCACCAGACTCCTTTGCAATTGTCTTTCTTTGGCACCCAAGTAGCACACATATTCAGTGAGCTTCTCTCACACCAGTTCTACGTTAGCTGCTGTAGGTGAGGTGGTAAGATGGACAGAAATAATCAGACTTGTAGGGATCCATCAGGCTAATCAGAAAGGAACAGTGCCAAACCCAACATGAGAGCTGGGGCATCTGACCTGATGACACAGTACCCGGGGGTCCAGAGGTCAGGGGAAGGCTTCCCCGGCAAGGACCTGAGGAACTTGCAAATGTTTTACTGCCCTGGCCTCACCGTCACCAATTAAATGAGGATCTCTAGGTGGGACCCAGGTCTCACAATGTGTTAAAACCTTCCAGGTGATCCCAATACACAGTCAAAGCTGAGAATCACCTCTCTGGGGAGTGATATTGGTGCTAAACCTGAGGGCAAACTAGGAGGGAATCAAGTGAAGGATGCTGGTTTGAAGTCTTTTCGTTTAGGTTTCCCACAGCCGATCCTAGTTCTAGAATTCAAGTGCCAGTAGTTTATTTGGGAGGCCATCCCAGGAAGCACCAGAAGGCCGGAGGAGGAGGGAGAGAGGGGAGGGAGTTACTGTGCAGGTGACCACTATGGGCCTCCCTGTGGCCTTGGGAAAAGATGCAGAGCCTGCCTCAGAGTTTGGCCACCCTGCAAGGAGGGAAGCTCAGTTGCTTACCATCAACTCCCGTCCACTGTTGGCTAAGAGGTGCTCTTGGCTCCTGCAGGTCAAGAAGCCTCCAGGCAGGGAGCCCCAGGAAATGGCAGTTTTTGGGAACAGCAAAGGACATGGGCACCATTCACAGCATCTGCTACAGGAGGGGAGCCAGGAGGATTGGGGGACTGCACGGGGGTTAGGAAGAGCAGTTGGGCATAGCTGGCTGCCACTTGGAAGGGACATGGCTCACTCAGCAACTCAAAGGAGACAATGTGACTGGCCAGAGAGGTGGGCGGGAGCCAGACTCCTCAGGGCCTTGAAGGTCATGGGAAAAACCTTTTATGTTAGGAGTGTTGAGAAGCCACATAGACATTAAGTCAGGGAGGTCTTGGGATCCATGTGATCAGACTGGGGTTTTAAAACTGTAATTCTGGTCTAGTTATTTTTAGAAAGGATTGTGAGTGTTCAGTGAAAGTGATCATGTAACCAACAGCCTTTAGCTTCCCTCAGGTCGGGTTTGCATTTCCCTGGCAATGAGCACATCGTAGCCCTTTGCTGCTCTCTGTCTGGTTGAGTAGAGAGGGCAGAAGTGTGGAAAGGGTGGATCACGGGGATTAGGGATTTAAGTTTAGTTCTGGGCACCTACCTCTGTTGGAGCCCTGGGTCTCACCTGCTAGATGGAGGGTCACTTAGTTCCTCTGCCCAGTTTCCCTACAGAAAACAGAGGGAGTGACAGCCTCCCAGTAGAGGGCTCGTGTGCAGCCTGAGTTACTGTAATGCCAATCTCGAGGAACAGTGTCAGGCAAAGAACAAGCACCTGGTGAGGGTTAGCATGTATTAGGACTGAAACAAGTGCTGTTGGGTTTGGGTTTGCCTCCATGATATTTTCGAGATTCCCAACTTAACACTCAAACCCTAGGGGCAACTCTGTCAGTGTCTTGTTGATGTCAACTAACCAGCTTCTCCCCCATGGCAGGCCAGAGTCACCTTGTTAACTCTTTGGAATGTAGCTAAAATGTAATACAATTTTATTAAAGACTTGAAGACAGCCATGAGGAAAGACACCCCCTTTGCCTCCTGCTATAATCTCTTAAAATCAGATAAAAAGTGATTTAAATGAGCATCATGAGTGGTCTTAACCACACTCAGCCATTAGTGAGTTGAGAAACTACTGATGTCTTACTGCGGACCTACTGCTTCTCTGCTTACAAAACACTCAACAGAGAACAGCAAAACCAACTCCGGCTAGCACGGCCCCTTTAAGGACTGCTGGCTAAGGTGGTGGAGAAACCCTCCAAAGCAAGAGATATAACCAGATAGCAGACTCGGAGGGAGGGTGTGGGAAAGGAATCAGAGAGGAGCATCCAATGCGGCCGCAGGGCCTGTCCTTTCTTCTGGCCTGTGGGAACCTGTAGTATCTCAGGCCCAGGACAGCTGATGGTTCTGGTGACCTTGTTCTTCTCTTTGATCCTTCATGGACCATGGGCATGCCCTGGACTCTGGGACTCTGAAGAGAGGGGATGGGGATTAGGCGATAGGGAGAGAGGATGAAGGGGAGAGTGGTTTTGTTGTTGTTGTTTGTGGGGTTTTTTTGTTTTTTTGTTTTTTTTTTGGCTAAAACTTAAAGAAAGTAAAATAAAAATCTTTTGAATAAAATGACACCATTGCTAATTGACAGGTTACGGATCGTTTGGAATACTTTATTGATGTCATAATTGGACGCAGCAATTGTAGAAAGTTTTCAAACAGTACCGAAAACTGTTCCATTCAAGAGAACTCTAAACTGGAAAAGGTAGGTGACCAAATTTCTGTGATGGTCTTGGCTGCTCTGAGCCCCAGACAGAAGAACTCGGGTTGCCTGTATCCTCTGAGGCCTGGATCACTCCCAAAGTTCTTCCCCAGAAGTGGGCTTTAGAGCAGAGGATAGACAACAAGGGAATGTGATGAACCCCTCTGAGTCTTTCCCTATCCCTCCTCCTGGGGGCAGAATGCTGCCAGGGTCACCCTTATTGCAAGGGATTCATCAACTCTGGCCTCTTGGTGTAGGAAAACTTGACAACATATGTTCATTGAAAGTCTGTCCTCTTGGACCCAGAGGACCTAGAGCAACTCAGCCATTGCTGGGCCCGGATTGCTCATTCTTGTGAAGACACAAAAGGAAACTCATTCATCCACTCAGCTATGCATCAAAGCTTACTTTGCCCCAGGTGGTATTTCGGGTGCTGGAGATTAAGCAGTGACTAGGCCGGACAGTGTTCCCATCCCCTCACACTTATAGTTGATTCTCGCCAGGCTCAGCCATGATTTCCAGGAAGGTCATGGAAGAGCCCAGAGACCCCCCCCAAAAAAGGGCTGATCTGGCCCGGGGTTTTTTAGCCTCAAGCCTGTATTTCTGATCTCAGAAGTGGGAGAGCCCCACATTGATCCAAGTCCTAAGTGTGATTTTGGTGAAGGCTTTTTGCAGGTCTGTAGTTCTTTCTTTTTCTTTCTTTTTTTCTTTTCTTTCTTTCTTTCTTTCTTTCTTTCTTTCTTTCTTTCTTTCTTTCTTTCTTTCTTTCTTTTTAATGTTCAGTTAGCCACTGTATAGTACTGTATAGTACATAATTAGTCCTTGACACAGTATTCAATGATTCATTAGTAAGTGTAACACCCAGTGCTCATCAGAGCATCAATACCCATCATCCTGTTACCCTATCCCCCTACACTCCTCCCCTCTGAAAACCCCAATGGTTTCTCAGGGCCCATAGTCTTTCATGGTTCAAATCCCTCTCTGATTTCTCCCCCTTTGGATTTCCCTCTCTTCTCCTATGGTCCTTCATGCTCTTGCTTATGTTCTGAAATGGAGAGAAAGTCTCTTTGGAATAAAAGATGGTAGGCCCTAGAGCCCTCCAGACTGGTCTGGTTATTAGAACAAAAGGCATTATTAGACTTGTTATTAGAACAAAATACATTATTTAATTATTTAAGATAACATACATTAGATCATATCTGACATAGAATTGCTTTCTTTACACTACAGAAAATATTAGAGAGAATTAAAAATAAAATCAAGTTTACATCTGATCTCTCAGCAAAACATGATGATTGTTAGTATTTGCTTTCTATCCCTGGTGCTTATGGGAACAGAGACCCCTCCAGGTATCCACTGATGGCTGCAAAGGTCTAGCAGATTCCTAGGAGCACTCATTGATGGCTGATGACCCATCCTCCAGCATATTCCTAAGCTAATACCTAACAACAGGACATATTTTCCCCTCTTTTTTGGTATTACTGATTTTGCTGTGGTTGTGGTCTTTTTCAGAAAGTAATGTGCAGTTTTTTGGTTGGAGCACTCCCCTGGAATGGTGAATTCATGGTGATGAAGAAGCAGTGTGCAGACGCTTAGGGGGTTCTGAAGTCCCCCCCTCCCACCACCACCACCTTTCTCTGTGAAGAGATAAATGGCATGTGCTGTGTTACCAACGTGGTTTCCTCATGCATGCATCTTTCCTTATTTTGTTTCCTAGTTTCTTATTAGGTCGTGACAAAAGATGGGTACGTCCAATTCCTTTTTCTTTTCTTCCTTCCTTTTTTTTTTTTTTTTTTGGCCTCAAGGGAAACCCCTTGACTTTGGCCAACTTGGTGACTCACCACCAGGAATAAGTTTGTCCCTGAGTACAAAGGATGGAGTGAGGTCTCATTCCATTCCACACTGCAAATTTGAGGAGGGATTCATTTTAGATTGGGTAATAACCCCTTCCAAAGGTCTGAAGCCAGTGGGTGCTAACTCAACAGGTTCCTTCTGGAAGCCTTCTTTTCAGCCTGAGGCTCTTTTTCCTGAGAGTTCTGAGTCCACAGTTCACCTGGGCTGGGAGAGCTCCTGCAGAAGAAGCAGTCTTCCCCTGTGGGGTTTCTGTGAATTGGGAAACTTGTGTTTCTTCTCCTGTAAATGTCAACAATGGTCACACCAAGAGAGGGGAAGGGCAATGACACCTCCAGAGTAAGCTGCGTTGTTTCTGTGTACTTGCTTGCACGTGTGTGTGTGGGGGGGGGGGGGGGGGTGTGGGTGCGTAGTGAGAGATTGAGAAAAAGAGAGACAGAGACAGAGTAGGGGAATGTGGAAAAGGAAGTGGACAAACAGGGATGATAGCAGGAGATGAAATTCTCTTGAAGAAAATAATCATTAAAAACAAGTCAATCTAAAACCATAAGAGATTCTTAATCTCAGAAAACAAACTGAGGTTGTTGGAGGGAAGTGGGTGAGAGGGAATGGGGTGGCTGGGTGATAGACAGTGGGGGAGGGTATGTGCTATAGTGAGTGCTGTGAATTGTGTAAGACTGATGAATCACAGACCTGTACCCCATTAGCCCCCATGATTTTCTTCAGGCACTCCCAGCTCCATGACCACTTCTGATGAAGCCCCTGCCCTGCTTCCTTTTCCCCCTCTCAAGATACCCATCTAATTAAGGGACCAAGGTTTGGATCTGAAACAGATTTTTGCATTACTTGGACCTACTATGCTTATCCTGATTAAAGAGGGTTCTTTCCTTCAGACCAGGAGGGCTCCATCAAAAATTACCCTCCATCCCTCCACCTCTGACACACAGATGGATCTCCTTATGTGGGGGCAGCAACCTACCACTCAGCTTTGGAGGGGCTTGTAGGACTGGTCAGCTTAAGGCTCCACGAGTCTCCACTGTTTGTGGAATAGTGTAAGTCATATGAAAATGTTTTAGGAAACATTTGGAATTTTGGAATAACATCTTAGAATTGTCTTTCCTTATGGACAGATGGGCAGGAAACATAGGGAATTGCATGTCTGGAGCAGGCCAGCAGGACAGTGTGGGACTAGCCTGGACATGCTGGGAATGGGGGAAGCTGCTGCCTCTGCCGTGTTTGGGTCGGCTTCCCCCACGGGTCCAGAGATATGCCATGTGTGTCTATGCATTCATAAGCAGGGGTCTATTTCTAAGTATATTTTAACATTTAAATTTTATTTAATTTAACCTCATCTCTTTTCAATCTGTCTCTCCAAATCTCTTTCATTTCATGAAACAAAATGCAAGGCACGCTTTACTTTCGTTTTCTGGATTTCATGTCCTTGTTGCTAAGATGTTACTGGAGTACACTTTATCTCTCTCTCTCTCTCTCTCTCTCACACACACACACACACACACACACACATTCACTTCCTCTATGGAGAAGAGGAGCCCCCCAAGATAGGACCTGCAGTTTCCACTAGGTTGTACTGAAACTCTGTCTGTGGGCCTTGGACCCCAAGCACTTCTGTCTGGGTCTGGAACACAGGAGCACTGGAGCCCCAGGAGGCCATGAATATCAAGGAAATGGGTCTTGACCAGACAAGCCACATGGTTTCAGTGCTGCCTAGACTCAGAACTGGTATGGGTGGGGTGGGGGCATCTTGCACTCACCTGATGACTGGTCATGGCCATGCTGTGTATGAAAACAAGAAATGAATGCATTTAGCCAAATCCTGGGCTGGGTGAGAACCACACAGGCTGAGACCCCCACAGGCAGACAGGGGTCTGCCACGACCAGAGGTGAGCCCTCTGAGGACACATGGACAGCAGTGGCAGGGAGCTCAGGGCCTCAGACCTAGGAAAGGTCCAGATGCGCCATGTGGAGAGCACAGTCCAGTCCTGATCTCCATCTCAGAGGATGTGAGTGCTGTCCCAGGTCTGATGCCTCATACTGCAGCACCTTCACCACCAAACCTACCCCTGATCTGTTCTCCATGACCTGGGAGAGCGTCAGGACTGCCTGGCTCCCAGGGGCCTGCTGGAACAGAAATAGTGGGGGTGGGTGTGCAGAGTGATTATGCATGTCTGCTCAGGGAAGGAGGACATTTCCCCTTCTATGCAGTTGGTAGTTTTAGATTGGATTTTGTGGATGCATTTCTAGTATGTCCAAAGGAATCAGGGACAGTCAATCAGTCAAGACCCAGGGAGAGATGGCAGCTAGTGAGAGTATAGGAAGTGTGGAGGGACACCACCTCCATCTCCATGCTCTGCAGTGGGGGCTCCCTGGGAGTGGGCTGCAAGGTGGAGCTCTGGAAATGGACCCGGGACTCAGAGAAAGGGCTGCTCCGCGTCCTCTCCCCCAGTGCCATGTTCTTCACTTTCTGCTCTCTTCTGGGTCTTTGTCAAGAAAAAAATTTACCTGAAACTTGGAATAAGGTACAGAGAAGTCAGTATGTACTTTTCATGCCATTTTAGACATTGTTCATTGGGTCTAACGAGGAGTCTTGAGTTTTCCAGGGACTGCACCTCTGTTTGATGTTCTGTTCATTATTGGCTAAAAGCCAGACTCTAAAGTCATGTGTTCATTTTTCCTGAGAGGTGCAAATGATTACTGACTCTGAGATGGGCCTCCTCACATTCCTGTCACTTGTTAGGGAAGGGAGAAGGGGGTCAAGACCGTAAGTGATAAATAAAAATATCAGTGAGTCAAAAACTGTATCGATGGATATAAATGCTGGCCCGTAGTTCAAAGGCTTGGAGGCGATGAGAAACACTCATCAGTGGGCTGGGAGTCCAGAGAAAGTAATACCAAGAATGCCATATTTCACCCTTGACTAGGAGAGGGTAGGGGCTCAAACTGACCATTGCTACCCATTGCCAAATGGGGACTTTTTGGTTTTGAACGTATGACGCCAAGAGGCAATAAAGTGAAGAGTCTGCTCTTGGAGCAATAGACTTTCCCATTTTCTGGTTCTAAACTCTTCAGAGTTTTTCTCTTTGTAATATCTGCATCCCAAATACAGAGACATTCTGAGTGAGCAGCAGGGAACACTGACTACAAGCCCCAATAGTCTGAAAAGCCAGATTTCTGCCTTGTTAACCAGATTCCTAGGGATTTGTCACATGTACCAAGGATGCAGATAGATCACCCAGGTACAGCTGATAAAACCCCAGATATGATAGTCAGAGACTCAGGGACTATGCCCTGTGTCTGAGGTAAGGTGACAAAAACCTCAGGGCCCCATAGAGGCATGTCTGATTGTAAAATTAGCCCCTGACTTTGGTTTTGAATAAAACCACACTAGTTTGTCCCCATAAACTGCCTGAAAGCCAGCACTTGCTGTAGAACATGTCCAGGAAACCGGTCCAGAGTAGAGATTTGACCAAACACATACATTGAACATCTCCTTTGCTCGTGCCATTATCATGTTAAAAACAGAAATAAGGAAAACGGAAAGGATGGTGTCGGTATATTCCAGTAAACTGGTCAGCGTCATTGTGGTTGTTTCCATGAGGGAAATTTTACCAACCCAGAGTCTTGCTTCTATTAAAAAAAGAATACATTAACTTCTTAAAAAGAAGAAGAAGGAAAAAAAGGATCAGTTAGCATTTGTGGGGAAAAAAAGGAGAAATCCCAGTTTCTTGTGGCAAATGTCAAACTGGCAAAAAGGCTTGTTTTGTTGGGCAGATACTGACTTATGCACTGAAAAAAGCAGTAAATACATAGTTTATAGATAGGCTCTAACAGTAAGTGTCAGCAGAATAGAAAAATCAGGTAGCACTTATAAACCCATAAGCAGGAAATCCAAAGGAATGCCAACAATCCACCCAGGCTAAACTCAGGAAAGAAATTAAAGCATAATAAAGGGGAGCATCAAACTAAGAAAACCAAAATGTGATTGAAATTTGTAAATTCATGAAATGGAGACTCTTGAATTATTTAAGATTATGTCAAAACCAAGAAAACAGGCCCCCAAATGGGTCACTTATGCTGAGCCCCTGACACTAAACTGAGATTTAGTTTTCATTATAGTTTGGGCTCTCTTAGAAACAGAATCTTAAACAGTCAGTTGGGAATCACCTAATCAGCTCTAGTGAGGTAATCTAGGTAATGTGCCTGCCATACCCTAAAGCAAAGTAACCTAGTAATAACCAATCTGGTTGGTTTGTTTCTTTCTTTCTTTCTTCTTCTTCTTTTTTTTTTTTTTTGGCCCCATGTATCCTACTTGTTCCCACTTCCTCCTGCCCATAAGTCTTTCATTTTGTTCTGCTCCACCAAGCTCCTTGATATCTGTTGGATTGCATGCTGTCTGATTCAAAACACACTGCATAAAGCCAATAAGATCATTAAAAGTTACTCAGTCGAATTTTGTTTTCTAACAAATATTAAACCTGTAGGATATTCATAAGAGACAGTTACCACATACCAATCTTGGCATGTTGGAAATTTCTTGGTAGACAAAGGTACACCAAAGAACTGGTAATTAACAAAAGCAGGAGAGAAAGTATTAATATTAGGGGTAGTAGAATTTAGTCTAAGAGCATTAAGCAGAGTGAAGAAGAAGTCTTTTCCTGGAAAATTTATTCTGAGATGCCGTGAAAATACAAATACAATGGCACCGACAGACACCTAATCCCAATATTATGGAAGTGATGAAATCACAAAGAC